CTGATCGCGGTGCGGATCTTGGGGCACAGGAGGATGTCTCCTCGGTTATCCAGCCAGCCCACGCCCAGATCATTCTCTAGGAAGTGCTGGACCCCGCGGGCTACACGGCGTGCCAGCGGCAAACGAGTTCTCGCCAGGCACTGCGCCAGTGGGCCACGCCCGGCTACCAGCGCCTTCCTCGCCCTCGACGTTGCACCCCCATGCTCGGAAGATACGAGGTCGAACGCGGTCAGCATGTAGCCGAGCTGCTTGAGCGAGCTCTCGAGCATCTGGGTGGGCAGTCCCACCAGCGTGTCTACGATGACCACGTCGGGGCGGCCCTGGCCCACTCTGAGAAGGAGCGCCTCCGCTTCGAAGCCTATGGGGTCCATCGTCAGAGACGTCAGCACCCAGGCGGCCGCGTGCCCCTGGTCGGCTTCGCGCCCCCCGAGTTTGATGAAGGCGTCCCGATATCCCTGGGGGAGGCCGCCTAGCTCGATGCCGGTCTGGCCTGCCAGCGGGAGGCTGGGCCTGGGCGCAGCAGGCATCCGGAGCGCGCGATGCCGCAGCGCTGATTCGGCCAGCGGCCTTGTCCCGCCTGAGATCCGCGGGGGCCTGTCCTGGGCACCCGCGGCGATCGAGCCCCACGCAGCGGGCGGCTCCAGGCGATGCCAGCCGGCTCTTGCGAGCTCGCCGTGCACCTTCGCCACCCCCTCCCGCGCCAGGTAGTCTGCCACCTCTCTGTGGCATGTGTGCACGTAGAACGGCGTGAGCACGAAACCGCGCTCGGCCTCGAGCCTCTCGATCACGCGCAGTAGGTAGCGCGCCAGGGCGTTCTTGGGTCGACGCTTCGCCAAGCCAGGACTGCACGTTCACGTTGTCCGCGACGCGAGCTCACTTGCCCACAAGCAGCCCCTGCAGGCCGCCAACGCCACCAGCGCTAGGAGCTCCACGAAAGAAATGACCCAGTCGCTCTCCGAGCTGGGCCCGACCACGGCGTTGCTGAGCTGTTCCAGCAACGGTTTCGCGCTCGTCGCTATGTACGAGTCCAGGCCGGAAGCCGCGCCGCGCCCAGAGCGGCCCGAGTCCACCGCCCCGATTGCATCCAGGGTCGCGTCACCTCATGTCCAGCGGGTGCGGCACGCTACCCCTGGCAGGGCCATCAGCTCGCGGGGAGTCAACGCCTGGCTGAAGCCCGCCTAGAAAGAGGTGCTCCAGGCCCCCCGCGCGTCGAACATCACCCTGAAGAGCTCCGGCGCGCGGTCCAACTCCTCCCAGGCTGCTGCCGCGGCGTCTGGGTCGCCCCTGGGGGCTGCCCAAGGAGACCCCCTGGCAACATGACCCAGGAGTCTGTCGAGCACGGGAAGCGCAGGGCGAATCGCGGGCTGCGCCGAACTCCAGCGCTGCGCACACGCCCTAAGCTCCTGGACCAGGCTCGTCGGAACACGGCGCACTCCGTGGGCCAACTCTGGCAAGGCGAGCAGGTACTGTGCTGTGATAAACTTCTGCTCGGGAAGCCGCGTGGTCTTCTTGCTGAAGTTCACGCGCAGCCCCCGCGCCAACTGCTCGGGGGCGAACTCGCCCTCCTCGGCGAGCGCGTCGGCTTTGACCGCGCGGGGCCCCCAGACGCGCTCCATGGCCAAGTCAAGCTCGTCCCCCGACAACCAGGGGCGGATTCCACGAGGGGTTCAAGCACCACCCCGTCGCCCATGAGCCACTTGCTGGCGAAGCTCACCTCGTCGTTGACGGCTGGCGTCGGTGGGCGGCGACGTTCATGCACCTTCTGCGCAGCCCAGGCGAAGGCCATGCACTCCCCCGGGCTGCCCGACCAGCCGATCATCACGACCTCCCCGTTGATGCCTACCGCATCTCCCGGCAGGGAGGCCCCGAACTCCGGACGGCGGCTGGCTCGAAGCGGCGCCACTTGAAGGCGCGGGCGACGTCGCGCTTGGCACACAGCTGCGGCACCCCAGGGCGCCGAGCTTCCCACCACAACGACAGCCTGGCGAGCCCACGATGGAATGGCGGCTTCCCCGGCGGGCGTTGCTCCTTAGGGCGGTCCACGCTGGCGCACCTCCTGTCGTGGATCGGTCGGCCTTCCGCGAAAATGGTCCAGTCTGGGTTCTGCTTGGGGAACCGGCCTTAGGGGGACTCGACGACGGCAGAGGCCTCGAGAACGTCGTTGACAGCTTCCGAGGCCCACAGGACGACGCCATAGCGGGTGCCCCCCCAGCACCTCTCGAACATCTCCCCCGCCCGCATGGACCACAGCCGAGGAGTGTGACTCGTGTACCTCGCGCGTCCTGGCGCTGATCCTCCTCGACAGCGCTCCCCCCTCAGCCATGGCCCGCAGGTAGGCCCCGTGCTCGGGGCTCAGCGCCGCTTGGAGGTCGTCGGCAAGGACACCCTCCCGCAGGTTCCCGCGATGCTCCTCGCGCGCCGTCTCCAAGAGCCGGGCTGCCTCCTCCACGGCGCCAGCGGAGCGCAGGAGGCGGCCCCCACGCCTGACGACCTCCCCCACGAGCTCGGGCCGGCACTCGGGGTGCGCAGCGTACCACGCGACATACTGGGCCGCCTGAGCCTGGGCCGGCGAGGGCGCTGTGGCCGGCGCGGCGCCTCCGCCATGGGGGGGCCTCCGTATCGCCCGTCCGCGTCTGGGGGTGGCGGGGCAGCTCGGCTGCTCCTCCCTGGCTCGGCGG